TACAAAATATAGTACTGTACTGTACTATACTATACTACAAAATATAGTACTGTACTGTACTATACTATACTACAAAATATAGTACTGTACTGTACTATATTATACTACAAAATATAGTACTATACTGTACTATACTATACTACAAAATATAGTTTATACTATTAAAGTTGTTTCAATATTCCCTTGAGTAATATAGGTTACATTAAACTGATAACAAAATATACAGTATACTGTGCGATCGTCGACAAATTTTTCTTGACCAATGATACCCAGAAGATTTAAAAGTTTGAACGCTCTTTGTAGAGCTGTAGAAACGACACAACGAAAGAGTTGAAACTTACTGAATGATAAATTTGAAATACCTGTCCGTTGCCTCTAATATCGTGAAATTTTGAAGGCCACACTGTGCCAAACGATGGGCCGCCGAAAGCCCGGCCATCCCCGCGCCGATGATCACCACAGTTGGTTCCGGTTTGCACGGATCCAGCATGCACGGGTCCAACTGACACGACTCGAATCTGGCTAGCTTCGAGCATGCTGTTATATCCTTCTCTCCTCCCTCTTTACCCGATGCGAGATTTCTGCTTGCAAACACGATTAACTTAATTTCACCTTTGCATAGGTGAATTGAAAGATGAAAACCTTTTGTGAATTACTTTATGAATTATTTGTTTCGGTTTCGCGATCAAAGACTTGGAAAAAAAAAAAAAAAGGTAACGATCGTAATTAAACAACGATATTCTAACATTAATTAAACGTTAATTTAACGATAATTAAACGTAATTAAACAATTTTCGTTGGCGCGAATTTAAAATTGTTTTATCCGACTTGACGTAGACAGTGGCAAGCGTCGTTAAACGCGAAATTGTTCAACAACCTCGTGTAAAAAACTTTTCCGTAAATCACACATATCGCAATACATCTTGCAAATGTAGTGAGAAGTCTCTGTATTAATTGTTCGTCGTTTTTGTTGAAGAAACGATGTACAAGGAGGGGGGGGGGGGAGAATTTAGGTTAAATGTATCTTTATCTACCTTACTAGAACCGTTCGAAATATTCGAAGGGACGATCTGGCAATATCTCTTTTAAGTAGCATCTCATTGAACGTAAATCGGCGAAACTAGCGAATTTGTTCATGAAGACGACAAAGCTTAATCTTGATGAAAATTTAGACGTAATTAAGGTGAGTTTCTCATTGCTATGAAGAGCGCGTGTCACACACGCAAACAAACGACCATTACCGTGCATGATGTTTTATTGTTGAGAGGGTAGTTGTCAAAGCCAACTACGATCGAGATTTCAATTCGATCGTTCAATTCAATTCCGTTAATTGAAATCGTTCATCCTTCGCGTTTATCATGAATTATAAATCACAAATTGACCGAATAATTGTAAATAGTCGGGTCAGATATTTAATGTATTCAAAAATTTAACATATTGAAAAATTTCATCGCCTAACTTATCTCGCGCGAAACTTTTCTAAATTCCTGCGTTTTTCTGATTTAAGGTTGACGACCGCAATATTAAAATATGAAAAAGTTTTTATTTTAATATAAAAAATATAAAATATTATGATAAATATAAAAAATATAAAAAAATTTATAGTTTAATAAATTCAAATAAGTTTATATTTTAAAAAATATAGAATATTATATTAAAATATTGTGATAAATGTAGAAAATATAAAAAAATTTATATTTTAATATAAAAAATATAAAATATTATATTAAATTAATATGATAAATGTAAAAAATATAAAAAAATTAAAATATAAAAAAGTTTATATTTTAATATAAAATATTATATTAAATTATTACGATAAATATAAAAAATATAAAAAAATTAAAATATAAAAAAGTTTAGTTCTTTTTTTTATTGAAGTTGATCGTTTGCAGTGTTTATAACGTTAATACTGTAAACATCAAGGACTGAATATAGTTGACATGAATACTAAATCTCATCTTTATTGCTAATAAAAATAAAACACAATTTACAATTAATTCATTTTAATTCTCGAGTGAGATTATAAATTTTGTTTTGTATCGTCATCTTAGACTCAAATGGTCATTCAACGTATAATTGACTTTTTGAAATCTAGATCTTTAAGCATATTCACACACTGTTCGATCCCGCTGCAAGATCTTTTTTTTCTCTTTTTCTTTTTTTTAACAAAATCGTACTACTCTGTTGCATCTTTGCGACTCGAAATTTAAACTTTCTGATTCTGCCACAACTGAGTTTCCAAAGAGTTGTCCGAGACTTTCTCCAGCGGAGGAGTCACAGTTCGCAGGATCTCTGTCGCTTGGCTCGTGATCTCGTTCCACGCGAACATTACGTCGTCCTCGCGAGTCAAACGAGAGCCAATCACCAACCGCACGATCAATTTCTCGCGATACGTCGCGGCAATTATGTAAATCTTCCTTCGAACTGTCACACGGTTAATGAGCTCCTGAGTTAATTGATTGTCACCCTGTAAAATCGGAAATTAGAATTAACGAAATCAGGAAACAAACTGAACCAAGTTAGCTTCCTAATTTTTTTTTTTTTTTTTTTTTTTTTTGCAGGTACCTTCATTCTGAAGCAAACTAAAGACAAAACTCTCTCCGTCACTAGTTCAAACCTGCTGTCAGACTTCACGTAATTTTCAAACATTTCGGCCAGTTGTATACTACGTCGTATATATTGCTGGATCCCTTCGACCCCGTACAAACGAAGGACGAACCAGACTTTCAAGGAACGAAAACGACGACCCAGAGGAATTTGCCAATTCTGAAAAGTAATTAATCAGATGGCGCCATTGGATTATTGACACTTTCGCGGCGGGCATCGCATTACACGTATGTATAATACTTGATTATCGTTGTCCGAAAATAAACAAATGCAAATACTTGTCAACGCTAGAACAACCATATCAAAATATTCGACGTATGAATCTACTATAATTTAAACGATAATTAAAGTAGATTTATACTCGTGTTTTTCTGTCTAGAAATTAAGAAATCAATATTAATTTTAATTTGTTATGGTACATTAATAATTTAAACGATAATTAAAGTAAATTTATACTCGTGTTTTTCTGTCTAGAAATTAAGAAATCAATATTAATTTTAATTTGTTATGGTACATTAATAATTTAAACGATAATTAAAGTAAATTTATACTCGTGCTTCTGTCTAAAAGTTAAGAAATTAATATTAATTTTAACTTGTTATGGTACATTAATAAAATTACAATATAATATAAAAAGTATAAAAAATTATAATATAATAACAATAATTGCACATTTATTTACGAAGCGTGCATAAGAATAATATTTCCTACACGCGACTGACAGTTTCAAATGTCCCGCCGGAAAAGTGTTAATTAAGTGGAATACGAAACGTAAGATACAATGTAATGTTCGTTTTTATTTTCTATCTTTCTCTGTAAGTAAATGTCTAAAGAATTAGTTACTCTGTAATCCGGGATAAGCCCTTGTTTGTCGTGTTTCAAGTAAATCCTGTCTACACTGCACGCCTCAACAAGTTTCCTGGAATCTTTCAGCCTGAAACAATTTCGTTTGATCGTATCATATCGTTGTTGTATTATCTATTATCGTAGAATGAAAGCGTGTTCGTACCATAAGAGAGAGCAATCAAAATTAACTAATAACCATTTGTGCGCGTTGACATTGAACGAGTCAGCATATTCAATACCGGACATCAAATGTCGATACTCGGGACATGCGAAAGCAGCGCCTGTAGAACCAAGAATAAATTGGTTTGTGGCAATTATTTATTACCAGCAATTCATCAACGTAATTCTGTCGTTTTATTTTCGCAATTTTATTAAGAAGATAGCATTTGATGATTTTGATAAGATTAAAATTATATTTTTTAATATTATAAGATTAAAATTATATTTGATAATTTTGTAAGATTAAAATTATATTTGATAATTTCGTAAGATTAAAATTATATTTCATAATTTCGTAAGATCAAAATTATATTTTATAATATTATACGATTAAAATTATATTCTGTAATTTCATGAGATTAAAATTATATTTGATAATTTTGAAAGATTAAAATTACATTTGATAATTTCATAAGATTAAAATTATATTTCATAATTTCATAAGATTGAAATTATATTTTATAATTTCATAAGATTGAAATTACATTTGATAATTTTATAAGATTAAAATTATATTTGACAATTTTTTAAAATTAAAATTCTAGTGAAAGGAAATATTCTTCGAATTAACAGATTTACCTGCGTAAGCTGCATCGATGTGCAGCCACATGTTGTATTCCTTGCAAATGGGTCCCAATTCGACGAGATTGTCGAAGGCGCACGTACCAGTGGTTCCCAGATTAGCTATCACGCAACACGGTATCAAACCTTTCTTCAGATCCTCCTTGACCGCTTTCAGCAACGTTTCACCTCGAAGAGCGCATTTGTCATCGGTAGGTAAAAGTCTAATTGGAACCGATGCCAACAATGCACCTCTTTCTACAGAGGAATTCGACTGATCTGTAGAACGAAGTTTAGAGAACACAGTTTTTAAACACAGAAATTCACGACAGTGAAATACATTCATTCAATTACCTGTTTTTAAGTCGAAGCAATAAAAACAAGTAATATGACAGTACATCATACGTACCAGACGCATATGCAATTAATTTAGTCTTGATGATTGCCTCGTCTAATTCTGGATGTAGGCGTTTCGTACAAAGTGTTGCTTGTTCCCTTGATGCTATCAAACATAATAGCGTAACCTCGCTGGCCGATCCCTGATTGTTAAAAACAAATTTAACATACGAGTCACAACAACTTTGAGACACTGTAATTAATAAAATATTATCCGAAGACAGATTTACAATAATTGTCGTAGTTTATTTCATTTTGTTGGCACGCTGCGACGTAATTAACAATTTTCCTTAATAATTAATCAACAATGTATATAGCGGCTCGTTGGTCTAGGGGTATGATTCTCGCTTAGGGTGCGAGAGGTCCCGGGTTCAAATCCCGGACGAGCCCATTTTCTTTTTTTTTTTTTTTTTTATTAAAAATTGTTTGTATTGACCTTATCAAGTAGCATGTTAAGTTACTTGAAGCACAAATAAAAAACACCTTCCTAAGTAATAACAATTCATCATTACTGAACAACAAATGCAAATATTTCTTTGAATTTATTACCAAAAGGTATTTTTTTTTCTTTTTTTTTTTTTTAAGCAGAAAAAACAGAACAAGTTCACATTCATTTTCCTGACGTTAAAAAATCTCATTTTACAAATTTTGATTTACGTTTTTTTTTAACCCCTCCGAAAAAATTTGCTGAAAAATCAAATTATGTTTTAAATTGTAAATGACCCAACTTGCGTTGGGTACTACAAAAAATTGTCTTACAGACTCATCAATTGTTCCCCTCCACGGAAATCTTTAGTAAAAGGCGAAAGATTTATACGTGATTTGAAGGGAAACCAGAGTGCCGAGGTAAGCACTACGTTGACAGATATATTATACCGACCTTCTTTTCACTAGCGAGAAACGTCTCCCTCTAGTGTGAATTTCGTGTATTAATCCGTACTAGCCAAAATACCCAATTGCAATGTTAATTAATTCACGTTCGGAATCCTCGTGACGGTGAGTTATTTAAAAACGTTCATGCTCTGTATTATTTTATAAACAATATTAACATTCGTGTTTATAAAATAAATTTATCCAAATTAATTTTATAATTTATAAGTAAATAAATTTATCCGAATGATAAATTTATTTGTAAATAGACCAACAGATTTATAATAGTAGATTAATTTATAATAATAGAATAATAGATTTATTCGTAAATAAATAAATTTATCCGAATAATAAATTCTAACTCCATTTGCCGATTCCTTTGTAACACCGTTTGCCACATAAACACCTATCATTTTGCATTAAAACATCGTAAATATAATAGATAGAAAATATTATTGTAACAATTTCAATTATTTAAAGAGATCATTGGTCACATAAAATAAAATTGTACAATGTCCCTTTTCTCGGCGTTTGAAAATATTCTTTTATGATCTGTTAGTAAATTTTTACCTGTATGACACCGCCACCGAAGCCCTCGTTGCTACTCAGAAACTGCTTTGGTAATCCTAATAATTTCCCAAGCCAATTCATCATAATCATTTCTAATTCGGTACAAGCCGGCGAGGAGATCCATGAAAGGCCTATACACCCAAAACCGTTGGCAATGATATCGCCAATAATCGCGGGATATGAATTTCCTGTTGGGTAAAATGCGTGAAATTGTGGTGAATTCCAATGAGTCATCTAAAAAATAGTTGTTCCGATTAAACAAGATAACAAACTATACAAATTATAAATAACAAGATAATGTAAACAGAACTGTAAAATCTTACTCCTGGCATGATATATCGTTCGACGTCTTTAAACACTTCTTGCCAACTCTCCGGCTTCTGTGGCGCTTTTTCCGGCAACAGATTAAAGAGATATCTCGGCTCCACGTTCGGAAGGACATTCTTCTCTCTCAAGGTCTCCGTATAGTTGGCTACGAAATCGATAACTGCCTTGCCAAAATCAATGAAGTCCTTCGTGTCCATCGTTGACAATAGTCTTTCCAAAAATCCTCGGCCAGTTTCTGCGTTCGAACGAATAAACGATAGAAATAATAGTAACAAAGATATCGGAAACACTCGTCTTTGTTTTTATTCCTTTCCTTAGCAGAAAGGAAAAATTCGCAGATAGATAGACAGATTCGACACTTGAGATGAAAGTAAAACGTTTTTCGTTCACGTTTCACCAAATGAAGACAACTAATTTACGTTGCGGTGAAGTTTAATACACTTTTTCTACTTCCGAGACGAAATTCATTAAGGGAACGTCCCCCCCCCCCCCCCCCCGCGGCATTTTTAATAAATAGGACGCGTTACTCACCGAGGAAAAAATTCAACTGAGATTTATAAAATTGCGAAGCATTCGGACAGTTTCTGAATAACCAGAAACCACACTTTTTGTTCCAACTATCGGAAATGTTTAACGAAACATGTTTTTCTTTTTAAAAAAAAAAAAGTCTCTTCGCCTGAAGCACGACGATGTAAATGAAGCGTCACGCAGAATTAGCACTGATCAAGAATATGAATTCCGAATTCAGGCCGAGATCGAGGAACACGTGATTGAAAACTATGGCAGTGGTATCGGAGCCGAGAGCGGTCCATGAGGAAGTGACTTGGCTTGAACAGCGGCGGATAAAGTTAAATGCCGACACATAGAAAACTTTCTCCTGCTTTCACCATAATTATACAGAAAAAGAAGGGAAAAAAATCATTGATCAGTGCGGCGGGAACGGGGAGGGGGAAAAAAAAAAAAAAGAATCCTATTTCACCGTCTCTGGAAACCTCTCTGCCGTCGTCTAACGTCACAAATTACGAACATTCCTCGACGTTACGCGACCGGATCTTAATTAATTAAGATTATCGCAACAACTTGAAAATTTAAGTGTCGATTCAATTTCACGTGTCTTTCAATTGAATTGAATTGTACGTGCGTTAAATACAGGCAAATTTTAATTGAAGTATAATTGTGTTTCGAGCTGAAATTATGCGAACTCGATGGAAGACTTAACGAAGAAATCATGGTGACCAACGCAGGAATCGTTTGTCTCATTATCTATTGTCTATTTTGTCTATCTCATTGTCTATTTTCAACCTCAGTTTTGAAACTGCCTCTTTCGCTTTCTTAATTGAACAATTTCTATTATGTATAATTATTGACTAATGTCGAATAATAATGTCGAGCGTTGTACGCTTTGTTACGGAGACACTAATTCCACATTCAGATAAAATACAAATGATCATCAACATACTTTTACCGCGTTTTAATGAAAAAGATTTTTATAAAAACGTAACACATAGAAAGAGCGTCCTTGAAAATACGGAAGAGCGTAAAATCGAAGCGTTCGTGCATAACCGCCTTGATTTCTTCAAAGGAAATTATATTAGAGGAAAAAAAGGCATTAAAAATAAAAGAGAATGTGAATTATTCACACACGTATCTGTGTGTCTTTAATCGATTGCCATTGTCATGTTTTTTTTATGTAGTATTGACTTTTTAAATAACACACACTATAATTTATGCAATGCTGCACAAGGATAGTTAAAAAACAAGAACAAAAAGACGCTATTTGTCTAAATAATTATAAAAGTTATTATTGCATTATTCTTCCATATTTCGTACTTTCGTAACTTTTATCCCATCAGTATCATGATTTATTAATTTATTACGAAAAGTAAATTTTTTAGATTTTAATTTATTTCTTTAGAAGGATTCTGTTGTATTTTATAAATTCAAATCGAAGTGTCGCATTACTTTACGTTTAAGATTTATAAGATGCTTTTGTAAATTATTAAAAATGCTTCGATTAATGTATGAAGCAATAAGTGTCACAATAATGAAACGCACATAAATATCCAGTGTATTAACAAAATTTATCGAACAATTGATCTTTTATAATTTTAATCCTTAATATCTATTTTTTTTTTTTACTTTACACACAAAATTCTCTACTTATACTTTGTCAAAACATTTTTGTTCATACTTTATGAAAAAGACAAGCAAAACGTTTCCAACATAATAATTTTTTATATAAATGAAGAAATATAAATCATCAGTATTCGATAATATTCAATGCTATACTGGTATTACATACATCGTTCATATATTCATATATTCAAAAATAAATCATTACGTTCGCAATGTAAAGGAGAGAGGAAAAGTTAATTGCAATTCAAATAAAATTTTTTTTTTTCTATTAGAAATTAATCTCTACACAAAATAGTTCTTAATTAAAAAATGAAACGAAAAATTTTGCCAATTTTATATTTTATTAATTTTGCCAATCGTCATATTACGATCAATCATTTCATTACATCAACATCAATCTATTTTTTTTTTTTTTTTTTCTATGATAAAGTTACGGTGACATTATGTCAGAACAACTAATGAAACATAGGAATAACAAATAGCGATCAATAAAATGATGAATATAAAATTATTGTTGAATTAAGTTGTATCATTTTTACTTGCCTGAAAGAGCAGTTCGCTAACAATAAAGAAAAGAACGAAGAGCAACTTCAACTCATGAACAGAAGGTGTTGGACTGCTTATAATGTTGGAACCATCCTTTTTATATATCCTCGATAGACTAAGACCGTTTTACGAATAACCAGCATTTCTGTATATTCTTCCTTCTCCAATGATTTTCCTTGTCGCAAATAACCTTGGTTGATTATGGCAATATATTAAAAGAAGTATTTGCTATCATAACGAAATTATGACAATACTAACTACTAAAATATAATTGCAATAGTGAAATTATCAACAGTTATTGATAACAACGGTCTTGAAATTTCTGTATAATCTTGCCTGCAGTTTTACAATATTTATTTCTCCGAAAACTGTTTTTCCTTTAAATACTATTTAGAAAAGTTTTTAATTAAAAAAAACATTTAATTTTCTTTATTCTTCTAATTGAAAAAATTCTTTGGACATATTTCAGAATTTTCCTCTAAATATTATCAATTGACTTGAACTATCATTCTAAGTGAACGAAAATCGTATATTTCTAAATGTCAAACTTTGAAGTAAGGAAAATTTCGTAAATATTAATGTTGAAGTTTTGTAGTTAAATTTATTTATATGTTTGTACGTATTATATGTGTTATACGTGTTGTACGTATTATTTTAAGAATATAATATGAAAGAATATAAAATATACAGATATGTTAATACCTGGAATTATTATTCTCAGTTCAATTAAAATTTATATATTATATATATTTATAGTCCACAGATACACGTGTATTCTCAGCTTAAAACTACTTTGAATCGTATAATTAATACAAAATTAATTCTTATTTCTAAAACATTTTAGGCAAATTTTAAATTTATTCTAATTTCTAAAACATTTTAGGCAAATTTTAAATTTATTCTATATTTATCCAACGCTAGAGATCACAAATTAACTCTTATCTCTAAACATATTTTAGGCAAATTTTAAATTTCTTATTCTAATATTTATCACTCTTTTTATTCAAAATAGTTACGATTACAAGTTATTGTATATATTTCAACCTTTGTGCCTTATGAATTATTCATACATACACGTATATGCGCAGCTGAACTACATTATATTAATCAAGCTATTATTAACTGAGTTCAGTTATGTTAATAAGTTCAAAATATCAATTGTCAAGATGCCGAATAATGTATAAAGTAGGCATGATGTAATCCTTTATAAAGAATCTATGAAAAGAAACTATCACTTCTCAGTTTTGAAATTATTGTAATTATTCCTCTTGTACGAGATTTCGACGCATATAATATCAATTTTACACTAAAGTAAGGGACAAAAATGTCATCAAGCATTTGATATTCATGACAGGATATTCAAATAGCAGAAGAGGAGAAGAGAACCGTGCGTTATTGCGTTATCTATACATTTATAAATCGAGTTTGAATATTTATCAAGCACACTTGAACTTGGCTAATCCCAGATATTACATGATAAAAGTTTTTGTAAGATGCTTCGTTTTCATGAAGGTGAAATTTGAAAATTATCAAGAACCAAGGCAATTTTCAACGAAACGATATTCAAAGTCAGATGATACCTAACATTATAATAAAGGAATTGTTATTTAATATCATTTTAACTACCTGTTATGTGGATGATCTAATGTTGTTTTAATTACGACTACATTATAGCTAATATAGTGATTTTCCACGCAATATTTGCTGACATCGAAGAGTATATTTATAAGACATGGACAGACTATTTCTATTTCTGAGATAGAATTAAAATAGCACTGCAATTAAAATCGGTATTGCTGTCAACAAATTCACGGAAGCTGACAATTAACTGACATTCAATTACATTTATACTGATATTTATGTAAATGCATACTATGCAAAGAAAAATAAAGATAATAAGTGTTGAATGGAAATTTTTATAATATTTTAATCTATTATTTTATCTTGCATATGTTTTGCTTGTTAATGTTTAAAAGTATAAGCAGAGCTCATAATTCATATTCATTCGATCAATTTGATTTAATTACTTTCTTTCAGAATTTTATTTAATTACAATTTGATTTAATTACTTTCAGAATTTTAACACATAATTCGTGTATACAGGATGTATCATAGTATGTAGTATTCACTTCAAGAGTGTATAAGGCACTAAAACAATGAAAAAAATTCATATAAATAAGTATGCCACTTGACTTACTTCAAAATTATTATACCCATTTTTTATTGCTACTGATAATTTCAAAATACATTTTTTATTGCTACTGATAATTTCAAAGTACATTTTTTATTGCTACTGATAATTTCAAAATAAATTATATTCCACAGTATTATTTAAATAGTTGCAACCTGAAATTTTTATAAATTACGAATTTTTTTGACATCCACAACGTTTCTAAGTAACAGTTGCAAACGGCTATAAATTTGAAACAAAATTAAGTTGGGCATATTCATATACAATTTTTACCACTGTCAGTATCAACAATAGCCACATATAATCCATATTATCTGAAGAACATACCAGACCAAATTCTACATGACAATTTGTATTTTTCAGTTCATTCAGTTGGATTATATGTCAGAATAAATATGAGAGTGTCAAATATATATTGTTAAATATATGTTGTGTCACATATAATATATACACTATATACATACACTATATGTAAATAGTACTGAAATATTTTGGAAACAAAATTAAACTCTCGTTTGACTGGAAAAATCTAAAACATTTTGCAAATTTTTCATAAGGATTTTTTGCATAAAGATCCGTAGTCTATTTATAGGTAAAATAATGGGGAAGAGAAAACACATTGTCTCCCCATAATAATATTTATAAAATTATTAATGTAACAACAACTAATACATTTGTAGTTGAATTTTGATTTTAGACTCATCGTTCGTTCATTGAACAGAAGAAGAATGAAACGGAACGTCATATCATTAAATTATAATTTCTGATACAATAAACAATTTAAAAGATAATTGTGGGAAAAAAAGCAAAAAAAAATTAGATCTTTGGGCTCGTCCGGGATTTGAACCCGGGACCTCTCGCACCCGAAGCGAGAATCATACCCCTAGACCAACGAGCCAACTTGAAAAGTTTTTTCCTGTTAATCATCACCAAGCTCTTGATTAAACAAATAAAGTCTAATTATTAACATGTTAAAATTAATATTTACCGGTGGCAGTTCAAAAACATTTGTTAGAAATCCACACGTTGACTTGTTCTAAATCACTAGTATCAATAAAAAATATCAAATACATCTCTATAGGACAATGTAATATTATAATTTTATTTTACAATATAACCGCATATGTACAATAATGTTACATATTCATTTGCATCGTTGAAATTGATTAAAATAGCAGATTAGATAAAAATATTTTATTAGGACATGGCGTATGTTAATGATACCAATTGGAGAACTTCATTCCTGTCAGTATACCATTTGTTCTCCACGATCGGTTTTACAGTAAAAGAATTGTTTTGCAAGTTGGCTCGTTGGTCTAGGGGTATGATTCTCGCTTAGGGTGCGAGAGGTCCCGGGTTCAAATCCCGGACGAGCCCAAATTTTTTAGTTTTAATATCAGTTTCTCCATCATCAACACTGCTACCAACATTCTCCGACCAATTTTCTAACAATAAAAAAATAGATGAACCTTTGAAAATTATAAAGTCACTGTAAGATGTATGCACAAACGTTGGCGGAATATTAGTTTTTTTTAAAATATAACAGAACATATTATTCTTAAATTAACATTTGTTAGTGATGTATATGTAAAAGATATTTTCAAAAAAAATCCTTAAAGAATTTTAGCTCAGAAGAATCGAAACAAGGAATTTTCGAAATAAATCTGCCAAAGGAAAAATAATGTACAAATTGTATAATATGAAAATTGTGTAATAAAAAAAATATAAATATAAGAAAATATAAATATAAATATAAGAATAGTTAGTTTGTTAAAAATATAAATATAAGAATAGTTAGTTTGTCCTCTAAAAACTCATTTGTAAAGTGATTATGTAACTTGAAGCCTTTTTTTCTATGTAAAATATTTTCATTAAAATGAAATGATAAATGGAATCTAAACACCATAAACATTAGACTCGTGCTAACTACTACGAAATATCTATTTACGTAATAGTGATAGTTGAAAGGTAATATGACCATGAATATAACAATTGTCACAGTCATTTCTTTTTTTATCTGTCGCGCTACCATGAATCAGAACTGTTCTATTTTTCTTGTATCAATTTCAACGCGATATTTAATGTTTTAAAGAAAGAAAAAGTTGCTATTTCTTATCCAAAAACATACAAAAATCAAATCTAGTATAACACTTTTGTATTATGATATATTGCAACACAATATTGACTGAAATTATTTAATGATTTATTATTAACTAATATTAATCACGTTGATCATTTCTTATTGAAAAGATGCAAGATTTATTTTTTAGAGTTAATTTAAATTAAATTTTGAAACTAAAATAAATTTTATATATGTGGAAATGAAATTTATATACTTCTAAAATGGAAACAAGTCGCAAGGTTGGGGGCGTAGCTCAGATGGTAGAGCGCTCGCTTAGCATGCGAGAGGTACCGGGATCGATACCCGGCGCCTCCATCTAAAACTTTTTTTTTAAACAAACTAAGTATGTATATATTTTTGTAAAATAAAATTTACATAATTTTATTTCATCCCTAAATGGAATTGTATTTTTTAGTACAATATAGAAAAGTACTAATAATTTATCATATGTGCTTTTCCAACATGCAAATGTAAATAATCTCACAGTAATAACTACTAAGAAGCTCTACAAATAGCCCTCTGCTATGAGTCTGCTGATATTCGAATTGTAAAGTCAAACATCTATGAATTAATCAGTTTGAAAACATTACACAAATTCATATGATACCATTATACTGTACAACAGATGTAGAATCAAATCCATAAATAAATAAACTACACAAAATGCCAGATTATAATTGCGAAGTAGTCAATTCCTCTGACCCACAACATAATATGTATGTACATACATACTAGGAAGAGCCTAATTTAGGACAGATTGCCAAGTGTCTATCACTTTCTCATCTGAACCAAAAAAAAAAAAAAAAACTGAGT